AACGCCGCATTCCTCCTGCAGCCCCCGCCCCGGCCCGGCTGGGGCAAAAGGGAGCGAGAAGAAACCCTGGAATGTCTGAAAGAGAAAAGGAGGGAGGGATGGGACCTGCCCCGAGCTGCCTCTGCACGCCGGGGGTGAGCGAACCCCTCGGTGTGAGCTCGTGTGTGTGAAGCGCTCCCACCGACCCCTGACTTGCCAGAGCAAGGTAAAACATCACCTGCAGTTCCAGGCTCCACAAGTTCAAACAAGAACAAAAGCGAGGAAAAGGCTCCTTTACAGAATATCCACTGCAAGCCAATGGCAAAGGAAAAAATCAGCTGTGAGCGGGTGGGTGCCCAGGGGCAGGGCTGGGGATCCCTGATCCAGGGCCCTGCTGGGAGTCAAAGGCTGCAACAGCTCCAGGCTGCCTTGCCCAGTGCTGTCCTGGGTCAGGGAGGGAATATGTTACAGATGGAGACCGTAAGTGATGGTGAAATTGCAGCACAGCAAATAAAATGTCCACTGGAGCAGTCTGGGACCTGTGGGACAGACGGGGATGCTCACGGGGCTCGACTTCCTCTCCAGCTCAGCCTGAGCCAACCTGTGCCAGGCTGTGCCCTCAGAGGGCTGGGCAAGACATTCCCTGGAAAACAAACACCATTAACTCCTGCAGGAAATCGTGCTCTGAGTCATGGGACATCCCCTGATGCAGGGGACATTTCTGTGCAGAAACATCTGTCCTGTTCTCCAGGAGCAGATCAGCGCTGCTGCTGCTCCCCATGCCCAGGGACACCCACATGAACAGCCCAACCTGAGCCCTGTGCTGTTCCAGGCAGGAAAACTTGGCAGGGTTTTGTCAGGGATAAGAAATTATGTCTCGTGTTGTAACTTTCTGACAACTCTCTCAGCTGCAAAATTAATGGTATCAGTAATAAAAGAGGTTTTCCTCCACCTAATTTTTTCATTTCCCATTTTAATTCAAGCCTGACCAGCAAACTGCCTCCTTATTCCAGCAGAGATGATTTAAATCACTGGCTTTGCTAATTACCATGATCTCCTTTGAAAGCATTTCAGGAATTCCTGACGAAATTCCAATCCATGCTCTGAAAACCTGCTCTGAAAGCAAATAAAACCTTGAACTGAAACACCACTGACCTACTTTAGGTTTAAATTCCAGTAACTCTGGCTCCAAAGTGCAGCAACCCCATGAGCCCAGGCTCTCTCTGCAGCCCCTGCCCAGTGCCAGCTGTGGGCACAGCTGGACCACGGCCCGTGCTGCCATGGAGGGACAGCTCTGCCCAGCAGAGCTCAGGACCTGCTCCACACCCAGCCCAGCACTGGTCCCAAATCCCTTCAACACCACTTGTTCAGCAAAGCAAAGGCTCAGAATTTGCCCTTAAATTGAGTTTTCCTTTTCCCCCCCAGCTCCTTTCCCCAGCCCAGGGAGTTCCCCATGCCCTGACCCATGCTGGGTCAGCACAGAGTCCCCCAGTATGCCCAGTATCCCCCAGGCTCGCAGGGACACAGGGCAGAGCTGGCAGGGCACAGCCTGGCACCGTGCCTGCTTCCCACCAGGACCTTGATAAAATTATCCTTGCAGGGGAACAACGTTATTTTTGTCACGTCCCCATTTTCTAAAGAGGAAAATATTCCATTAGGAAAGCGTCCAGCTCCCCTCTGAAGGTTTTGGCTTTTCCAGGTGGTGGAATGGAGAGGCCTCTGCACCCCTGGTGCCAGCCTGAAAATCTCCCACAGCTTCCCCCTGCAGCATGCAGGGCACAAGTTTAAATTAAAGGGGCGTTAGGAGCCCCTCTAAGGCACCGATTGTCCCTGTGTGTGACACAAGGACACGCTGCTTGCTCCTGGCTGCACCTGCAGCAAGGCTGTGGCTGTGCACGGGGTTTGGGCTGCCCAGGTAAAGCCGAGCCTGGTGCCACCTCTGCTGCCCTCCCAGGCTGGGCTGAGGGGTGGGCACAGCCCGTGGGGCCCACGCTGGTGACAGGCAGAGCCCGGCAGTGCCCACCCCTGTCCGTGTCCCCATGAGGGGAGGGGGCAGCAGCTCCGTGCCGAGCCCGCTGAGGGCAGGGCTGTGCCACGACCAAGGACCTGGCACCCAGGGGCAGAGGCTGGCTCAGTGATTTGTCCCAAGGTCCCTTCCATAAAACAGGACAATGCCCTGTCCAGGGCAGCAATCTCTGCTCACAGCCCGCAGCAGAGCAGGTCAGCACAGTGACCAGGTCAGCACAGCCTGGCCACCCGGCCAGAGCTCCTCACCCTGTGTCCATCACAGCCTGGGGAGGCTCCTCTGGCACAGCCAGGCTAAAGGAACCAAACCTGCATTATTTCTTTCATTTTCAATAGGACAGACCTTTAACGTGCCTTGCTGGGCTCTAGGCTTTCCTTTCCTTTCTCTGTCCTTGTTCCCTCGAGTGTTTCAGCTACACCAGCTACACCAGCGGATCAGGTGTCCTGGAGATGTCCTGGAGATGTCCTGGCACTTCTATGGGGGTGTTCTGGCAGGAGGAGCAGCTCCCGTTCCCTGCCAGCCCCTTTCAGGGCACTTCTCCTCCCCGAGCCTCCAGCACGCACCCGCAGCATGGCCAGCGCCTGCCGTGCCCCTGGCCAGGCCAGCAGCGGGTGTGCCAGCCCTGGGCCACTGAAACCGGAGCTGGGGCACCTGGAGCCCTCCCCAGGGCTGGCTCCCACTGCTGCCATTCCCAAGGTTATCCCCGGGCAGGGCCGGGAGCAGCCTCAGCCCCGGCACAGGCAGGGATGCAGCTCAGCAGCACCTCAGCTCCTCCAGGGCAGATCTCCCCGGGCTGAGGAGCATCATCATCATCATCATCATCATCATCATCCCCTCACACCCCAGCCTGCCCTCTCGGCAGGATTTAGGTTAAGCTGTGGCTGCTGACGTGGAAGTTCAGGCAGAGCTCTTCCCCCCAGTGACGTTAAACTCGTGCAGTTCCCCCAGCCACAAAGCCTGGTTTAATCAAAGTTGTGATTAAACCTGACAATGTCCTCGTGCAGACTCTCCTAAATAAGATTTAGAACAGCTAAAATTAGTGTAATTTAGTGTTAATCATTAATCGTTTTATCCACACTTAATTCAATTTAAATGTCCACACAACGAGCTTGCATAGACTTTGCTGCTGAAATCTAAACCAAAATTGAATTAAATGTTGTTAAATTAGATCAACACAATCTGAGTGCTGCTATGAGAAGGGTTTGCCAGAGATGATTATCAGCTGATTGGTTGATGCTCAAAATTATCCTGAGCTGTGTTAGCCCAAAAGCTCCAGCTCTCAGTTCTTTGGGAATGCATGGACATCTCCATCAATATTTAATGAACAAAAATGCAAAATAGCCTTCCCAGCCTCCAGGAAAAGACTTACAAACATAAGGTTCAGCAGGCAACAAAAACCCTGCCTTGAAAAAAAAACGAAAAACAACCAAAAATCACTTTTTTAGGTGAAATGTCACAATTCCAGCACTCCAGAGTGACCTTTGTGTCAGGGGCTGGGTGCAGCTCAGCCGCTGCTGCTGGGGTTGAGCAGGGCCAGGGCAGCCCCCGGCTCTCCCTGGGAGCTGGGAAGGGTCAGCACAATGACCCCGGACAGGAACAGTGACCTTGAACTTGCCCTGTCTGCTCGCCGTCTCCTCCAGCTATCTTTTCTCCAATGGCCGTTTTTTTGAGTGTTACAGAAGAGAAAAAACACAGCCCCAACTCAGGAATCAGCTGCAACCTCGGCTGCCAAGTTGGCAGAGAAGATAAGGGCTCTTTATTTAAAGTCAAAAACTCCAGACGCTGAGGAGGGATAGACAAGTCTTTAGCAACTTTTACAGCCAGTCTTGCAATAGAATTTCCTAAGCAGACTCAAAACTTGCAAAAAAAACCCCAAGTTTTCACCAGAAGCGTTTCCTTGGAGCGCTGTGGGGGCAGGGGCAGGCTCCTGCAGCCCGGGACGTGTGGGATGTGAGGGATGTGAGGAGCCAGGGGTGACTCAGGACCCCACACACCCCACGGCACAGCTCAGCAGATCAGGGAAAACCCCACAAAGGAAAGGACAGTGTCCCTTTTTGGGCGGGTCAGCAGTTCCCACAATATCGTGGGCAGGGAATTGAGCAGTGTGTGGGGCATCAGAGGCTGGGGAGGAGGAAAACAAAGGAGGAAAGGAAAGGAGGAAGAGAGGACATTCCTCACCTGGAGGGAAGGGAGGGAGGGAGGGAGGAAGGGAGGACATCCCTCACCCGCAGGATTCAGGGGCAGGAGGGGCAAACACAGCACCAGCCATTCCACCACCAGTTATTTATTTACATCACACAGAGGTTTCCCCTGTGTGGGCTGAGGCAAAACCCAGCTCAGGAACATCACACCCACATCCCCAGTGCCACAGGGCCTGTCCTCCGTGTGCTGGGGCACCCCCTTTTCTCCCTCTCTGGTTTGGGGACAAGCTCCCTTCATCTCCAGCTGCTCTGGGGGCTGCCTGCCCACCCCTTGGGCTGCGCCTCTCCAGGGATCCAACTCCTCTGCAGCATCCTTTGAAGGCTTTACCTCCTTCCACACGCACCAACCTCTCCCTAAAACTGCTGCTACAACATCAGCTTGTATTTTCATTTCTATGCACTGCCTAGCAGAGCAATTCCCATCCTCTCAGCCACATGGATGAGCCAGGACATCTGTCCCAGAGTCCATCAACTGCTGGGAATCCCAACAACTCCCTGGGCTCAGCAGCTGCTGAGATGTGCATGGAATCCACAGGATTCCTGCAGCCAGAGCAGTGTCTGTGCTCTGATGGACCCTGCAGCCCGAGCAGATGATGGTGATGATGATGATGATGCAATCATTCTTGCATCATCAATAGTGCCGGGGGTTATTGGTGCAACACTCCCTGGCTGCAGGCCAGGCAAGCAGAGCAGCTTTTGGCCAGGGTGGAAAGAGCACCGTCCTGCAGGTGGCACAAGGAGGGACACAGAGGGGTGACACAGAGGGGTGGCACAAAGAGGTGACACAAAAGGGTGACAGCGTCAAGTGCAGGAAAAGTGAAGAGTGAGTCTTAAGTTGACGTAACTTCCTCCAGCTTTGGAGTTTCCAAAAGTTCTGTCACTCCCAGGAAATCAGGGCTGTCACACGCTGCAGAAGCCCCTGCTGATGTTCCCTTTGCCATGAGCACCTGCAGCACCTTGCACAAACACCTCGGCCTGGGTGACACCGATCCTGGGGCAGTTTCTCACCCCCTTCCCCAGGAGGATGGGCAGCAAGGCAGGGACACTGTGCTGAACTGGGCTCGAACAGCCCCAAGCCCTGGATCCAAACCCTGCCCTGTTTGGGGATTTATTTATTATTATTTATTTCTTGTTTATGGATGAACACCCTGTCCCTCCTGCCCAGGCAATCAGCAAAGCTTCTATGAACATATTGAATATTGATTGCAGAAGCACGTACAGAGCTGCACAGCAAGTCAGGCATCAGATCTCTGGTTCTGGTTAGACTGTGAGAGAATTCTGTGGGGTTTTTTCGAGGGGGTAAAAACCCAAGTTTTTTAAGAGAAAAAGGAGAAACGAAAGGAGGGATGGGAAAACACAAGAAGAAATGGAAGGAGAAAGAAATTGAATGAGGAATGGAAGGAGGAGATAAAAAGAAAAAAACTAATAATTTTTTTTTATTTTTTTTTTTTTTTTTTACAAAGGAGGGGAGAAAAGGGTTGGGGGGGAAAAAAAAAGAAAAAAAAAGCGGGTTTTTTTTTCTGTCTGGCCGGATTAGGGGCAGGAGCTGCCAAGTGGCGGGGGGGGCCAAGCTGGCCCGAGCTCCGGGCCCGGCTCCCGGCCCGGCCCCCGCCCCGCCCGCCCCGACAGCGATAAAAGGCGGCGGAGCCGGCCCCGGGCAGCAGCTGCAGCGGAGCGGCCGCGACAGCGACAGCACCGCGACAGCTCCGGAACAGCTCCGCACAACACCGCAGCGCTCACTGCACTGCACTGCACTGCACTGCACGGCCCCGCAGATACACCGGTAAGGGATGAGAGGGGTCGGGATGGAGATGGGATGGGGATGGGATGGGGATGAGGCGGAGGATGCGATGGGGGATGCGGTGCCATGGGACGCTGCACAAAACGCGTGGTACCAACCAGAGCGCACAGCGTGCGCCCCTCAGCGCAGCCTGGCGAGGGTGGCTCTGCCCTGGCAAGGCTCTGCTCTGCCCTGGCAAGGCTCTGCCCTGCCCTGGCAAGGCTCTGCTCTGCCCTAGGGCACCGCGGGTTCAGGGTGGGCGCGTTTTCCCGAAGCAAACTTTCGGCAAAAAGCCCCGATCCCCATTAAAGCACAGCCGGGGGTCCGCGGGGAGCTCAGGGAGCCGGGACAGCTCTGCCACCACAGCAGCAGGATTTAACTCGCGTCCCTCTCTCTTCCCTTCCAGAACTGACATCTGAACCTGCTGCTGTAAAACAGAAATGGAAACCATGCAGGAGCTCATCCCCTTCGCCAAAGAAATGCTCAGCCAGAAGCCCAACAGGAAGATGGTCAAGCTGTACATGCTGGGCAGCGTGCTGGCCTTCTTTGGGGTGGTCATCGGGCTGGTGGAGACCGTGTGCAGCCCCTTCAGCTCCCAGGGCAGCCTAGAGGAGGAGGAGGAGGACAAGAACAAGCCCGCAGCATCTCGGGAGCAGCGGCAGCCGCAGACACAGCAGGGTTTGGTGCTGGACAAGGGCAAGGCTCCGCCGGCGCTGCACAGGGCTCTGGTGACCCGGCACCACGCGTCCTAAGGCGGCAGCGCTCACAGACTGCGCCCGCAGCGCGGCTCCAGCGCCCGGAGAGGCTCGGCTGAAGGAGACTGCACGTGTGAGACTCGCCACAAGGGAAGGGTTATATTTGCTGCTGTGCAGCAGTGGGAAGAAATACCTTTTGTTGGTATAAACCTGTGCACGACGCACAGCATGGTTTCTTATTTTTCTTACGGACGCATTTTACACCGTTTTGCAAGATCAATAAATATTTTCTATGGTACCAGTGCTCTCTCTTGCTGCATTTATTTTCAAAGGCTCCTCATGCTGATTTGCCAAGTTTTGCTCACACCTCTGGCTGCTTTTGCGAAGCAGGGGGACCCAGGGGACAGTGGAGGAGGGGCTGTCCCCTCCCCATAAACCCCAGTGAGGCTGCTCTGGGTCTGTCCTGTCTGTCACTCTGGCAGGGGAGGAGGTGGCACTTGTGTCACACGGGTGCCGCATGCCCCGAGCTGGCGGTGGGGTCGTGCTTCAGGGGTTATCAGGGTTCAATGGCACAGATTTGTCTCTGTCACGGCCATGTATGCACAGAACTGGTTTAAAATAAATCAAAACCCCATTCTTGCCCTGGCACTCCTCCCGCAGGCTCCAGCTGCTGCACAGCTAAAAATCTTAAGAACAAAACCAAAACTCTTCTGCCTTTCCTGGGATCTTTCCCAAAGGCACCACAGACACCTGATTGTGCAGAGCAATATTGGCTGCCAGTGTCACCGGGTGTCACACATGGAAAAAACCGGAGATGGCACAGCCAGGCTGGAGGGTGTGGAAACTGTTCCAGGCTTCAGGCTCCACTCAGAGCGCTGCCAGGACCATTAGAGGACTTTCACCTATTTAAAAAATGTTCTGGGGCTTAGCAAGAGCCTGTTGCATTTGGGACTTTGTCATGTCAGTCAAATAAAGTTTCCAGCCAGCCACAGCTGAGTGATCCTGACCACACTTCAGAGGGGAGGGCAGGCAAACAGGCCCTGCCAGTGCTGAGCAGGGCAGAAATCCCTCTTTATCTGCCCAAAAGCATACCCACAGGGCAGGGGGAGTAGCAGGACACACACCTTGCACAGAAACTGGGAGATGCACCAGCAGTGTGCCACTCTCCAGCTAAAAGCAAAACAATTGAGCCAAAGACTGGATCATGGAAAATGAAAAACCCCTGCCAGACCTCAGAGTCACAGCCCATCCAGGGCAGCTGGGAACTGCTCATCACCCCTCTTGCTCCTCTCTATGTCCCAGGTGTCTCATCCTGCCCAGGAAAGGGGTTTGGAAAGGGAGAAGAGGGAGCCCCTGAGCCCCGAGGGAGGCTCCAGGTGAGCCCCCAGGTGAGTTCCCCATCACTCCTGGGTGCAGAGCCCAGGTGTCCCTGCCCTGCTGCCCACACCTCCTCCTCCCAGTGTGCCAGCCCCGCTGTTATGAGCTTAAAGCAAAGAGGGTTGTGAGCAGTCAAAATAGCTGCTGCTAAGACAGCTCAGGGGATTAGACAGCTAAAGCCCAGCCCAGCAGCCACCCTGGGAACCTGCAGAGGACGAGCTCCTGCCCTGCCGGCTCTGCTGGGCACCAGACCTGGGGCCACTCACCCTGCCAGGCCAGGGCACTGCAGGGGCTGGAGGCATCCCTGGCTCCCTGCACAGGGGGGAATTAGACCAGTATTAATCCCTGATTTTACCACAACGACCCCATAAAGTCTTGTTTAAGCCCCACGATAAATTCAGTGTGCACGAGACTTGGTGACCCCTTTGACTCCACTGCCACAGTGACCAGTGACAGAGTGGCCCAATGCAGTGAAAGGCTTCAGCAAAACCTTCTCATCTTTAAACCCCAGCACAGCCAAGAGCATCCCCAGAGCCCCGGGAGAAATGCAAAGACAAAGTTTAATCACAAACCCTGGGACAGAGCAGAGATGGGATAAGGCACAGACAGGACCTGAGCATTTAAGGCTGAGTTAAACCCAGATCCTGAGGGACAAACTCCTGGGGAGAGCCCCAGGGCTGAGTCACATTGCTGGCTTTACATCAGGTTGATTTCTATTGTTCTCAGAATATCTGGTTGATTCCAACCTGTAAACGTGACACTCTCCTGGTACATTAAATCCTCAGGAAAAATACAGCTGGCACAAAATGTGGTGAGTCTTTGTCTGTACCCATCTTTTCAAAGGTCTGGTTTCAGCCTGGAGCTGAAGGCCACTCGGAGCAGCAGCCCTCTCCTCACAGCTCAAAGGCAGGAGCTGAATGTTTTCAGAGTCCTCACTCTATTTGCAGTGTGGACATTGAATATTCCAGGGGCTGCCAGGCTAATTTTAGGGGTGCAGATAAGAATATCAGCCTCAGCCACCCAGCTCCAAGGGCACTGGGGACATGGACAGCAGCCAAGGCTCAGCAGCCACAGCTCCAACAATGAAATTTCAAGGCAGCAATTCCCAATTTGGTCACATAGGAAAAAAAAAAAAAAAAAAGCATAAATTTAGGGCTTGGAAATGACTTAAACATCCCAGTATTTTCACTAAACCAGCAGTGTGCAGAAATGTGATGTCAAACGAAACCAGACCCATCCTACAATCCTCTCATCCCCCGTGGGACTGGGAGGGCATTTCCAGTGGTGTAGCTGTGACACCAATGGGGTTCTGCTGTACAAGTAGAAAAACAGAACTGAGGCCAGCCCTTTATATGTGATGGCCCTGCCTGTAAAGAGAGGAATTAGAGCTGTGTTCATGGCAAAGGGCACTGGGACAGCTGGGTAGGAAAAATAATATCTTAATGTCTGTGAGATAAAGGAAAGCAAGAGGGGAAAGGGAAAAAAAAAAAAAAGAAAAAGGAAAATCCTCTACATCTGACCACGATTTGACAATGGTTTGAAAAAAGGCAAATATCACTCCAAAAAGGAGGAAAAAAAAAAGCAGCAGTATCCAAATTCCTGCCGAGTGTTTTTGAGCCTTGGAGCTGCCTGCAGGGACCTGCCCGAGCCTCAGCCTGCCCTGAACGCTCTCCCTGCAGGGGCTCTCCCGGCTCCCCCCTCCCCTTGGCTGCCAGGACGAGTTTCCCGCCCAGGTTTGGAGAAACCCCCGTGGGCAGAGCGGGCAGGGGCGCAGGAGCATCCCTTGGGAAGCACAAACACACAGGACAGGGGAGGGAGCTGAGCAGGGAATGCATCCAGGGCCACCCCAGTGAACTCTCAGGGGCTCCAGGAGCTGGGCACAGCTTTGGGCTCTGCCCCACCAAGGTCTGGAGCAGCCAGGATCAGAAAAACCTTCCCTGTCAGCCCTCCCCGCCCCCAGGAAAAGTTAAAAACAAGTTCTGGAGTCACACACAGGAAAACAAAGCCAGGAAAAGCCGTGAGTGGGAGTGAGGAGAGCAGCACCCTGGCAGGGATGGGAGGCTGGGAGCAAACCCTGCACTGAAACTGCTTATACAGGAAAACCGGGCTCAGTTCTGTTCGAAATATCCCATATTTCAATCCTTTATTATCAGCTACTGCAAAACTCCAACCCCACAATTCTCACCAGTGCTGGCTCTGGGATCCCCCAGAGCCTCCAGCCCCACATCCCTGGTGCCACCACGGAGCCGAGAACACAATTCCTTCCTGTCCCACGTGCAGATAGTGACAAAGGTTGGTGATTATTGCTTCACTAATGCCTGTCATAAACTAAAATAGCTCGAAAAGAGCCTCTCTGCTGGCGGCTGCAGACAAGATCCCAGCTGAGATATGTTAATTACTTCATTTTCCTTCCTTTGCCATAGCCAAGGAATGAAATGGTTGCCCCACGATCACAACCCAAGTTCCAGGCAAGGCAGGAAAAGCAGAGTGACTGCCCTGCTGTTATCGGACCCAGTGTGGGCTGAGTGCTTCTTATCAGAGGGAAAGTTGAGCCTGGAGTAGAAAGGCAGAAAAAGAAAAAAAAACCTCATCCATAAAGCAGCAGCGAGGCCAGAGAGCAACTGCCCTACTAGGCACAAAACTCAATTAAAGCACTTGTATTTTACAGATAAAATATGAGGGGGGAAATCCATTAAACAATTCTGGTTCTGTTAGAGAGAGCCAGGCAGAGTGCTGTGCCCCCCGAAATCAGAGCCCTGCAAACACAGCTTTTGTCCCAGCAGAGAGGGCTGAGGCTCTGGCAGAGCAGCTCCAGGAGCTCCCACAGCATTTCCCCACCTCTGGTACTGCAGGATGGAGATCCCAGAGCCCAAAGCTGGGATAACTTTATCCCTAGGGCACAGGATCCACGGCTGCCACTGAGGCTCGGGGAGCTACAGGATGTTCTGTGGGGTTCCTCAAGATTATATTCATTTAAAAGTCAGAACAAAACTCTTGGAAACCCCAAAGGAGGAACCACAGCTGCAAGGTCACTGATTTCTCTGCAGAAAACACAGCCAGTCTTTCCCTGAAAACCTCCCTGTGCTCCCTGGGGCTGAGGTGGCTGCACCCCACAGATGGGTCCAGCTCCCTCACCAGCTCACAGACAAAAAAAAGCAGATTAAAAACTCAGCCCTGCCTCAGCCCTGCCCTCCTGGGGCTGTTTGGGGTGCAATGTTGAGTCCCTGCTGCCAGCACTCAGTGGCAGGAGCTGCTTTGGGGCACGGAGCAGCCACACCCTGGGAGCTCAGGACCAGCTGTGGGTGTCCCCCCTGCCACAGCTGGGTCACATCCATGCCCAGGGCCTGCAGGAATAAAGGACAATGTTTAACCACCTGCACTGGGCTCCCTCTGATGTTCTCCAAGTGAAACTTGATGCTGCTCAGCAAAGACACACCTCTTCCAGGGTGTTGTGCAAAATTCTGCATTTTAATGTAGGACAGGAAATATGAAAAGAGCCGGGCAGGACCCAAACAGCCCCGCTGGCCAGGCCGAGCAGCAGGGAGCAAAGCAAGGGCTTTGCTTGGCTCATCCATCCGCCCAGCCGTGATTTTCCAGGCCTTTGGAAGCTGCAGCTCCGTCGCTCACAGGTTTCTAAAGGGTCCCTTTGCTGCTTCCCTCAGCTCTGCAGAGGGGTTTTTGTTCCTTCCTTCTCTCTCATGCTGTGTTTCCTGACTCCACAGTGGGATGGGTCGGTTGCAAAAGATTCTCATTCCCTTTCTGGGATTGGTTTTGGCCTTCTGGTTCTATTCTGCGAGGGACACTTTCAAACCGGGTAAGTATCCAAAGCGAATCTGACTTTAAGGAAAAAACGACGAAAAGCCACATTTGGGTGTTTTGCATAGAAATTGGCCAGAGCTCGGACCAAGGCACGGCCGAGCCTTTGTGTGGTGGCAGATACTGGAAAGTTTCTTTAACAAAGACTTAAAATCAAAGTGAACAAAGACTGTGCAGAGAAACCTCCTGAGGGAGCAGGTGAGGCAGGGGGCGAGAGGGAGAGGGCACTGAGCACTCCATTTTCCTGCGTGCAGGAAAAGTTTATAAACAGGGCTTGTAAGTGCTGCAGTTTAAGTTTGGAGCACTCAGCGGATTGTTTTTGTTACAGAATAGTTGAGGCGTTATTAAATTGTGCCCTGGTTGGTGGAAAAATCTGCTGGAAGAGTCCAGCGCTGTCCCTGTGTCACTGCATTCCTCGGGGAGCTGCAGCAGCTCCACAGCTTTTTCCATGGCACGGGAGAGCCCTGTGCTGCACTCGCAGGCTCGCTTACCTGCCAATTAACGGCCGATTCTCAAGGGCACTAAGTGATTTTGTTTTTTTTTAGTTTTAAGATTTGTTCTATCAGCATTTGGGTAACTGGAATGCCTGTGTCACAGAGATGCTGCGGGGGAAGAGGGTGATCGTGACGGGAGCCAGCACGGGCATCGGGGAGCAGATGGCATATCACCTGGCACGGATGGGCTCCCACATCCTCGTCACGGCACGCACCGAGGCCAAGCTGCAGAACGTAAATGGCAACCTGGGCACTCTCACATGGCCACGGCAGGGCTCACAGACACGGGAGGGAACCTCCCATCACAGCCAAGGAGCATCCACAGCACAGGTCCCACCTGGGCACGGGGACAGTCACAGGTCCCACCTGGGCACGGGGACAGTCACAGGTCCCACCTGGGCACGGGGACAGTCACAGGTCCCACCTGGGCACGGGGACAGCCCCCTCCACGCCCTTGCAGCTCCTGGGCACACAGAATCCCCTGGGCACACACGGAAATGCCCTGGGCACGCACAGCACCTTGCACTCCATGTCCCCGTGCCTGAGCTGAGCACACATCCCCACTCAGCCTCATTCCATGCACTGCTCGCAGGCTCCTGCTCCCCTGCAGCAGTTGCAGCTCAGCCTGCACACGCACACAGCCAGACCGCCTCGGGTAACACGCTCACACAAGCAATCGTTTCCAGGCTCCCTTTGAAGCTCACGAGGCTCCAAACACACTCCCCAAACCCCCAAAGCGCTGGTTTAAGGTGGGGACACATCTCGGGGAGCTCAGACACCCACTCAGAAGCGCCAGGGGCAGGGAGGGGAGGCGCTGACCCCGCTGTCGTGCAGGTGGTGCAGCGGTGCCTGGAGCTGGGAGCAGCCTCGGCGCGCTTTGTCAGCGGCACCATGGAGGACACAGCCTTCGCCCAGCACGTGGTGAGGGAGGCACAGACCTCGCTGGGTACGTCTGCAACCTGCCCCGCACAGTGCCTGGCCATGCCTTTTGCCACGTGCAAAAAAAAAATTGGGAGATGCGGGACGAGACGGGAAAAATTCTCCCCTAATTCTGCCCTTTGCAGCCCTGCTCCTCTGGCTGCATTGCTGCCTCTCAAACTGAACTGCGCTCTCGATTTCAGCTCTGAGCCTCCCGACATCCTCTGGCAGTAGCACAACCCTGGATTTCATCAGTGCCGGGGTCTGAAGGATCCGGCAGCCCCGGCCACTGCAGCCAGGGGTCACGGCTCAGAAATGCACCAGCCCAGCTCCGTGTGGAGCACTGCCTCCCCCTCCCCGGCCCACAGATAATTCAGGGGTGACATCCCTTGGGCCGTGGCATTTGAGTTTTGAACTAAAAAAAAAAAATAAAATATATCACAGCAAAATATTTACTGGCCACCATCCAGGCTGTATCCCTGCTCCGGAGATAACAAGCCACAGCTCTGACCCAAAAACCTGATTTCCTTGCATTACACTTACTCTGCTCCCAGAAAATGTTGTTTTGCTGGTTGCAGCCCTCTTCCCTCCAGCATTAATACCCTTTTTTTTTTCTTGCAGGAGGCCTTGACATGCTGATTCTTAACCACGTCGGTGCATCCTACTTTGGCTTTTTTGATGGGGACGTGGAGCACGTCCGAAAGCTCCTGGAAATCAATTTCCTCAGCTACGTGGCCATGACCACGTCAGCCCTGCCCATGCTGAAGGAGAGTGAGGGCAGCATTGTGGTGGTTTCATCCATGGCAGGTGAGGGGGCAGCGCCACCAGGCTGGTGACGTGGGGCTCGCTCAAAAGGCACCTGGGATTGTCAGGAACAGCACACAGAGACACCAGGCATCCTCCAGGAGCCACAAACACTAAAACCCCACCAAAACCAGCCCCAACGCCCAAATCCAGATGGGTTTGGGATTAAACCCCAGAGCTGCTATGCTGGCCAGTGTTCTGCTGATCAGCTCAGTGCCCACGGACAAGAGTTTGAACTTTGCTCCATCTCTCCCCTCTGAGGGTTTTGTGGTTCCTGTGGGCTGCCCATGCCCAGAGCAGAGATGTGAGCCATGGCTTTGGCCTTAAGAGCTGGAAGCCAACAAGAATATTTGTAAGGATGCTGTTCAGGTGCCAGGATGACCTTTCCCTGACTGCAAACTCCCTTTGGGTAAAATGTCTCTGATGAAGGGCAAAAGAGAGGCTCAGGCAGAGCAGCCTCGTGTGCTAACACAGAACTTCACTCTGTGTCCAGGTAAAGTCGGGTTTCCCTTTACCGTCCCCTACTCTGCGACTAAGTTTGCCCTGGATGGATTTTTCAGCTCCCTGAGGCAGGAATTCACCATTCAGAACATTAATGTTTCCATCACGCTCTGCATCCTCGGCTTCATCGACACCGGTAAGAGCAGCGCTGTTCTATCCCTGCTGAGCATTCCCACCCTACTCCTCCTCCTGCCCTCCGCCCCTCAGCCTTCACCTCTGCTGCAGCATCTCTGGGGGATCCCCCCTCTCTGCCACCAAAAAAAACATCTTCTAAAGTCATTCACTTCCCCGTGCCACGTGAAACCGGGCACCGCTCACAGGCTGGCACAGCCCAACACTGCCTGGGGTCCCTGCTCTCCCCGCATCCCCCAGAGACAGCCACATCCCCCGGGGGTGGGGTCCTCACTCTCCCCGCACCCCCCGGGAGTGGGATCCTCCCTGGCCCCGCATCCCCCGGCGTTCCCCGCTCTCCCCGGGGGTCCCGGCGCTGACCCCCGCCCAGAGCGCGCAGTGCGCGCTGCCGCGGAGGTGCTGCAGGAGCGGCCGGCGCCGCGGGACGAGTGCGCTCTGGAGATCCTCAAGGGCGCAGCGCTGCGCCGGAGGGAGCTCTACTACCGCTACAGCTCCACGCGGCTGCCGCTGCTGCTGCGGGACTGCGCCGCCGAGCTCCTGGATTACCTGGTGCGGAGCCGCTACCGCCTGCCCGCGCCCCCCGGCGCCCCCCGCCCGCCGCACTGAGCCGGGAGCGGCCCCGGGCACCCCCGGGCATCGCCTCCGCCCGTGCCCGGCATCGCCTCCGCCCGCTCCGTGATGCGCTGGCGGCACCCGCAGGGACACAGCGGGGCCAGCAGAGCCGGCTCCGTGCCCTGCTCGCCACCGCCTGGCCGAGGAACCGGCTGATTATTAATTGTTAAATAAAGTGTAGTAACCCGACAGGGGTTTTGTCGCATTTCTCAGCTGTTTATGGGCACTGTCAGAGATCCAAGGGCAGCCACAGCTGCTCTGGGCACCCTGTGCCAGCCCTGCCCACCCTCACAGTGAACAATTCATTCCTAATTTCTGTTCTTACTCCAGGACCATCTACACAAGCCAGCACACACAGATTGGGCTCTGCCCTTTAAACTTTCAGAAAAATCACTCTCAAACCCATTCACATCTGCCCAGCCGACACCGATCAGCATCACAATCCTGGGAAAGCTGAAGATCTTTCCTATTCCTCCACTTTGCTCTTTTACTGCTTTTTGCACCCCCTGGATTCCTCAACAGTGATATTTTTTAGGGGTGAGAGCCCCCCAACAACCTGCCAGTATTATAGCCATGGTGATATCCCAGAGGATAAACCAGAATCATCAGTAATGTTTGGAAAATGGAACATTTGTCAGCTCTGTTCTCTCCAGGTATTTCTATGAACCTGTACAGCAGAGTGTGCTGAGCAGTTAACCTTGGAAGGGAAGAGCTGCTCCTGGTTTAGACGTGGACTGGGGAGAGGGGGATGTGCACTCATCCCAGTGCCCCCTCTGAGGGGACACTGCTGTCCCAGCCCCCAGGGCAGCCACCAAACCATGCACCCACTGCTCTGTGGAGCTGGAAGCTGCTCAGTGCCTCCCCTTCAGCACTCTCAAAAAGCAACCCTGGCACTCCTGGCAGGCCAAGGGTGCAAAGGGACAGCCTAAAGTCCAAAGCCACACGCTTCATTAGGTTAATGTTTGCTAAATCATCGGCAGGGCAAAGAAAAGGGCCAAGAGATACCAGCAAACTCATGTGAGATAAGAACCAGCTCAAAACTTCCCAGCCCCATTTGCAAGCTCCAGCCACCTTCACCTCCCCGTGGGGCTCATCTCGTTCCTGCCTGGACCTGTACTAAGGAAGGGATGGGATTGCTCCTGAAGATTTTCATCCCTTTGTTGGGAGCAGCACTGGCCTTTTATTTTTATTCAGCACCTGAGAACTTCAATGAAGGTAAGTCCTGGGACAAAAAGACTTTACAAGCACAGAGGGGCAGAGTGTGCCATGCACAGGAACCTGGAAGGGCCTGTCAGGGTCAGAGCTGGAGGGCTGGGAGGGCAGACAGGTCCCAGGAAAGGGGTCAGAGCACAGGGACAACTCATGGAATTACACTGGGACACAGTGTCTGACCTCTGTAAATGACTTATTCAGGAAACAAGTCGTTTTCCTACTCTAAACATTTAATCCTTTTCTTGATCAACTCTCACTGCTCTCTGGCCAGGCTGGGTGCAGAGCTCAAGCCTCACACAGGCTCCCCACCAAACTGGGATCAGGGCCCAGGCTCCAGGGGGGGTCTGACGAGGCTGGCAGGGTCAGAGAGGAGCAGCAGGGTCAGAGAGGAGCAGAGGGACGGCGAGGGCTGTGCCCACCCTGAGCTCTGCCCCCTCCTCTGCAGAGATGCTCCGGGGCAAGAGGGTGATCGTGACAGGAGCCAGCAGCGGCATCGGGGAGCAGATGGCATATCACCTGGCACGGATGGAGGCGCACCTGCTGCTCACAGCACGGACAGAGGCCAAGCTGCAGAAAGTAAATGTTGAGCAGGGCACGCTGGGCTGGATGTGGGGATTCACCCCAGCCCGGGCACGCTGGTACCCTCCAGGTGCAGCCCAGGGCTTCCCCAGCACCAGCCCTACGTGGCCCAGGATGGGAAGAGCCTGGGACGGGGGTTCCATGCAGGGGAGCCCATCCAAGCCCGTTCTGTCCCCAGGTCATGGAGCGATGCCTGGAGCTCGGAGCTGCCTCCGCCCGCTACATCAGCGGCTCCATGGACAGCCCCAGCCTGCCCGAGCAGGTGGTCAGGGAGGCTGAGAACACCTGGGGTAGGTGCTGCGGGTCCCTCCCCACCCCACAGCCTCCCGGAGGCTGCCCGGTTTGCAGGGGAAGGTGGCCAAGTGGCAAACGTGCTGTGCCCCCAGGTGGCCTGGACATGCTCATCCTGAACCACATCGGCCAGAGCGGCTTCACCTACTTCACTGGGGACGTGGGGCACGTCCGAAAACTCATGGAGACCAACTTTGTGAGCTACGTGGCCCTGGCCACGGCTGCCCTGCCAATGCTGAAGGAGAGCGAGGGCAGCATCGTGGTGGTTTCATCCGTTGCAGGTGAGCTCACAGGGGCCCTGCCCACAGCCCACCAGGGATCCCTGCTGGGACCCTTCAAAAGACACAGTCAGGACCACAGGCAAGAGCTGGGACTCAGGGTCAGCACCTGATTTAGATCTTTGGTGCACAGTTCAAACCCTGTGGGAAATTTCTGTTTTGTCCTGTCAGTGTTCTTGGCACCCTGTGCTCACCTTCACACGTGGCAGTGCAGGTGATTTCACAGGCATGGCACGTATTGAACACACATTTGCAATACCTGGGCATCTCTGCAGGGATACAAGAGCAGTGTCAGCTGCACTGGAAGGCACTCTGTGCCATATGTTACATTTTAAACATTCCTGCCTGTGTCTATTTCTCTCAAGCACTCATGACCATTTATTCCAACACCCTAAACCCCAATGCTGCAGCTCCTGGCAGGGCAAGAGGAAGGGAGAGCTGGTGCCTGCCCAGCACCTGAACATTGTGTCTGTGCTCCAGGTAAGATTGCTGGCCCTTTTACTGCTCCCTACTCCGCAACCAAGTTCGCCTTAGATGGATTTTTCAGCTCCTTGAGGCAGGAACTCATCATAGACAAGGTCAACGTTTCCATCACCCTCTGCATCCTGGGCTACATCAACACAGGTAAGCTCAGCCTACTCCAGGCACAGCCAAGCTGAGCCCACCACCCACTGCCTGGTCCCAGCCTGCTCAGCCACTGCTGCTGGAGCCTCCTCTGCAGTGTCTGCACCGCTGGAAACAGGACCCCAGCTCTAAAAAAGCGTGGTCTGGAGCCTTTGGCTCTGCCACCCTCACAGTGAGCTCAGGGAGGTCCTGGGGCCACTCAAGAGGAGGAAAGGGGGCAGAGGAGATCTTATAATTGTTACTGCCACAGTTCTAAGCCCTGTTAAACAGGTCCAATCCCCAGAGCTGGTGGGGTTGAGGATGCCCCAGACACTCTGAGCGAGCTGTGCCCCCATCTGACACGTCCCTGTCCCCCTTCAGAGAGCGCCGTGCGTGCCGTGTCCCACGTCATCCCCGAGACACCGGCCCCCAAGGAGGAGTGTGCCCTGGAGATCATCCGGGCAGGATTCCTGCGCCACAGGGAGCTGCACTACCCTGCCAGGACCGTGAGCACCATGCTCCTCATCCGCAGCTTCGCCCCGGAGCTCCTCGACTCCATCGTCCGCAGCAGCTACCGCCTGGAAAACGTCCAGAGGACGTAGTGCAGAGCTCTGTGGGACACCTGGGGCCCAGCAGGATGGATCTGGGTGGTCACCCAGCTGTTTGGGTGCCTCTTTGCACCACTGGGACATCCCTGTGCTGGCACAGGACACTCCAGGAGTCTGTAACGCAGCACAGAAATGTCCTTTTTAGTAATGGACTCTTGTAAAGGGCTTTCTCCAGCCGGGAGGCACTTTGGAGAAGTCCTGCAGCAGCATCTGCTGCCAGTGTCCTGCTCACTCTGCAGAAATTGTTCCCTCTGGAAAGCCACTGAGGCAGCTGAGCTGAGCCCCGGCCCAGAACCAGGGCTTGGGCCAAGCAGCACAAACCACCCAAAGCCACGAGAGTCTCTGGATCTGGAGATTTTCTGTCACACATCCCTTCCATGCTGCTCTTTGTGAAAATAAATCCCATGTTACTTTGAGATCTTTGCTTTTCCGGGTGTTCCTTCTCCACGTGCACAAGCAGGGAGCCCTTATCAGTGCCCAGCACCCTTATCAGTGCCCAGCTGGCCAAACCGACCTCCTCCCGATTTGCATTAACAAAGCTTTCACTTCTCTAAAGACCTTAATGAATTTCTGCCATTCCTGACCTCTCCTCAGCTGCCAAAAACACACTTTTTTTTTCCCCCTTTCCAATCTGCAAGAAGCTTTAAAATAATAGCATTACTGTACTTCCCTAAGTCTGGATTTCTCAAAGCCGCTCGGGGAAACTCCATCCCCGAGTGCCACAAGCAGTTCCATGAGCCAGCACCCAACCTGAGTCACGGGCCAGCACGGGGAGATGCCCCAAAAGATGAGTGCTGGCTGTGCCTGGGGCCAGGCTGGCCACTCGGGGCTCCCAAGATAAGCCCGACCCCGCTGTGAGCCGGGCCGGGAGCACACACAGGAACCGGGGCTCGGCCGCAGCTGCAACGTTTCCTGTTTGACAGAGAGAGAAAAGACAGCGAGAGCCAAGATGAGCTGGTTGGCATGAGGAGGGCAGCTGGGGCGTGTTCCTGCCCGCTGACACCCGGCTCAGCACGGCTCTCCAGGGGCAGGACAGGACCCTGGCACCAGGTAAGTGCTGGAGCACCCACAGCACCGGGCTGGTGGGACTGGAGGGCAGCAGAGGATAAAAAGCAGCACCAGGCACCTTTTTCCTCTTTTCTCACCCCACCTTCAGCCTATGCAACTTGCACCGGGAAACTGTAACGTGAACCAGCAAGAAAGACAAATTTATTTTTTTTCCTAGTTTCCCTTGAAGCAAGAAGTGTAACAGCTTGGAAAGCAAAGATAGAGGACATGTTTAATTAGAGAGGGTAATTTGGGGTAACAGAAGGAGGAAATAGAGCATTAGCTCGTCAAGAAAGCTTCAAGGGCTTGCTCAGCCTGGGGTGAGTAATGGACGGTGTTCCTTTAAGCTTTATTCTGCTTTTTGGTGCATTTTTTGGTGAACTGAGGCTTTTACAGCCCTGGGACAGGCTGGGCAAGCCAGAGGCAGCACAGGTGGGAGAGGCTGAGCTTTTCCTGATGGGAGGAGAAGGATGAGTGGAGACTGAGCAGGACACACAACTGGGCCTTTTCTAAAATGGAGCAAAATGAGTTGAAAAACGCTCAGCATTTGGAGCAGTATCCTGGCTGGGGCTTGTGGGCACCTTCCCCACCCAAGAGCTGACCACCCCAAAAACACTGCTCACCTTCAAAGGAGACCCCTACAGTAAAAGACAGCACCAGGAACGAACTTGGAGCACCCCACAGCTACCACAAGGAGATTAGAAAGAATTACCGAGCAGATTTGAACACAAACTAAAAAGCACGGCACTATTCTACACGTGAACGGCACTCCAGCAGCACTGCCCCATGCCCCACAGCCATGAAATGCTGGAAATGGTTGATTTTCTGTGTTCTGCCCCTGTTCACAGGGTAGAGGTCCCCAGGGGACGAGGCCACCATGCCCAGCAGGGCACGGCCACGGCGGCGCACGGGCGAGAGCTACGAGGAGCGGAGCGAGAGGAGGCAGGAGGCCAGGGAGGGGATGTGCCACAGGAACAATGTCACCTCCTGCCGCCAGCCAGCCCGGCCAGCCCCGCGGTCACCGCACAGCCCCCGCCAAAGGGAGTTCCTCAGGAGGAGGAACCTGCCCGGGGAGACCCTGCTGGGACAGGAGCCCGAGGCACAAAGCCCTCCGAGCATCGTGCTCCAGGTAACGCCCGCCCTGCAGCACAGCCCAGAGCTCAGCCTGCTCCAGCCATCCCTGGAGCATCAGCATCCGGGTCAAAACACCGCCAAAATGCAGATTGTACGGACAAAAGTGGGTATTTCCCCACGAACTGTGCAGTCAGGCGTGGGGACACACTCACCTCCCTGCTCCTCTCCTGTTTGCCGAGCCCTCAACCACATGGAGATTTTTCTGCCATTTCTCCAAGTACAACTCCACCTTTTTGCTGCCAGGCTGCAATTTTGCACTTACACAAATTATTTTTACCCGAGATAAGTGAGCTCCATCCACCTGGCTTCTCTCCATCACCTGTGCTGTGAGCAGGACGGGTGGAGGAGGCAGGAGATCCCCTGGCACTCGTTACCCACCCTGTGCCACACAGGAGCCCAGAGGGCTCCCTGCCTTCAAGGACAGCTTTGGAAAGTGCAAAACACCCCAGGCAGAGCCAAACAGGTCTCCTTGTAAATGTATTTCTGTGTAAAATTCCCTGGTGCACCTTGGGGAGGGTCACAAAGCTGGGTGAGCTGAGCACGAGGTGACGACGCAAACCCACCCTGGAGCTCCCTGAACAAAGCTCTGGAGCTGCTGCAGCCAAAGGAGCAGATCCCTGGGGATTTCCGGGCTCCTCGGCATCTCCTCACGCAGTCTCTCCCGCAGGTACAGCCCCTGTCCCCAGCCTGTCCTGAGGAGACACTGACTCCAGCTGCCCTTTCGTTCCAGCACCCCAGGAGCTGCCCCACGTCCCCCCCTGCTCAGCCCCTCAGCAGCCCCCGGGGACGAGGGGACTCTGTCAACACCCAAGGTACGTGAGGGATGCTCGGATCTCCCAGCACAATATTCCCTGCCCACCTTCCCATCTCCACGGAGCTGTTTGGGATCGGCCGGCAGCTCCCCACGCTGCATCCCCACTCCCGTGTTTTCCCAGCCCAGTGTGAGTTTGCCCTGCAGACCGCAGGAATTGGGAATCTTTTTCCTGGGGGAGGACAAAGCAGCAGTGCTGCTGTCCCAGGATCCGCCAGGGCAGTGACTCCACTCAGGATCATTTCCACGCTGCTTCTCTGTCCACCAGAGCTGCTCATTTCTCTGCCTCCTGTGCCCAGTGAGCCGGCCCTGCACACCAAACTGGGAACAATGGGAGCCATCTGGGAGACGAACACCCTCCTGGAAGAGCATCCACAGCCCGCGGGCATCATTCACACCCTCCCACTTTGCTCCCACAGGAACGCAGACCCTCCCAAAGCCCGGCTCAGCAGTGAAAGACTCGAGCCAGCAGACAGAGTAAGCAAAGCAGCTCCTGCCCCTCCCTGGGGATTCCCACAGCTCCCCAAGCCCAAAGTGCTCCCCCTGCAAAGGTTTCTGCACACAACTCACAGCTCAGCTTGGGAGGGGATGTCCAGCCTGAAGACCCTCCCATAACACATTTTGTTTTTCGTTTCAGCTGGGGAATTGCAGTTTTAAATAAGGTAAGCAAAGCACAGGTAATGACCAGCCTGACACTCCCAAATGTTAAACCGCTGTGGAAATATTTCCACTTCTCTGGAAAAACTAACCCAATGGACCCCAGCAGGCTCTCCTTCTCCACCCAAATATAGGCTGTTAATTTATTCCTATTTAAAAATATTTAGATTTTTGTAGCAAGTTCATGACATGTTTATAAACTGAAACAATCCTATTTTTAAACATTTGCCCTTTCCCTTTCAGGAAATGGTGCAGCTCTCCAACTACCTGAAGGTAGGTACCAAACAGAGCTCAGCACCCACTGCGTGGTTTTCATCAAGAATAATAATTTTTAAATTAGGATTAATATTGCTAAATGAAGGGGTGCTAAAAGCCCAACGTTAACATGGCCAAAAAAGCCAACAGACCCCAAAGGGCTGGGGGGCTCTGGGCTGTTCCCCCCAGCTCTGACCGTGTCCCCCTTGCCCACAGGAGGCCCTGCACCGTGAGCTGCTGCTCAAGCAGAAGATGGTGATTTTACAGGAGCTTTTATCCACTCTGCTCGAGGCATCAGAGAAATCCTGGCAGGTACCAGAGAGCTGCAGAACCCTCCTCACCTCCCCCTGGCTGCTCTGCTTAGGGAGGGTGGGACAAGCTCTGCAGAAAAGGGGGAACTTGGCCTGAAATTTTCCCTTTTGTGCTCAAAGAGATTCTTGCAAAATGCACGTTGCTTTCAGATCAAGTCTAAAATTCTCTATTCCTCTGTAAGGTTTGGGGGGTTTTTTATAGTTTGCCTTTCCCACTGTTTCTTAAAAAAAAAAAAAAGCCAACAGCAGTGAGTGGGGAAGAAATACCAGGGTTATCCTCCCTGTTCCTTTCAGGGATGTATTCTGGGCCCCAGCACCAAGGCTGTTGGTGCTGAATCATGGCCTGACATCAAACTGTCTCCCCACAGCCCAAAAATAATCCTCTGCACACCCTGAGACAGGGCCTTTCTTTTCTTCTGTGAGGATGCAAAATTAAGTCGATACATTTTATGCAATATATGAGGCTTTCTTATAGGATCATTAAATCAAATAATTCATGCCATTGTGGCATTAAAAAGTGGTTTGAAAGTTCTGTTGGAGCAGAGAAGCAAGGGATTGGTTGAGGGGGTACAAAAACTCGTGTTAGACATCCTGTGGTCAGAAACTTCCGCCTTTGCTCGCTCCTTCAATATAACGTGAGCAGGAAAAAACACTCAGCCACACTCACAGGAAGTGGCCAGAAAACCTCAGATGACAAACAGGTGGGTGCTCCTCGCTGCTCCTGCTGCAGGAGAGACTTTGCTGCTGCCTTCTGCAGGCTGCTCTTCACCAGCCTAAAAACCCCTCGGTTCTGGAGCCAACAGGCAGATGCTGCTGCTTGGAGGGGATTCCACGAGGCAGGTGGGGCTGGGGGCTTCTCCAGGGGGTGCTGGCAAAGGGAGGGACGGGTGGAGCTTTCCCATAACGCTGTGCCATGGAAAGGGAGGGCTGGCTGCCCCTTTCCAGCCTCAGGTGAGATGCCAAATGTTTGCTGTAGCAGATTTTCAACCCTTTCTAACAGCCTGAGTTTCAAAGACGAGCTGTAAGTACCTGTGAATGATGTGGCAGTAACTCTTGGAATGGCCAGAGTCATTTTTGAGGTGCTGTTCATGTGTGGTTGTGGCTTGATGGGGCAAGTGAAGCTCTGCAGGAGGATGGGGGTGTCAGACTGCAGGGACAAATAATTTGGTTCCTTCCCCCTCCCACAATTTCATTTTGAGGTCAGAGAGACCTTCCTACCCCAGGTGTGTGCCTTGAATCCCCCAGCAGCTGTGAAACTTGCTTAGCTGATTCCAAAATGCTGCCAGTGAAGGATGATGCTCAGTGAGTCTCTGTTGTGATTAACGCCCCTTCCAACCCAAAGCCTTCCCTGATTTCTGCTCCAAAGCACAGGAAGGGCCCGATTGCCTCGTACATGGCACAGCCACATCTGTGCACAGCACAGGACCTGTGCAGGAGGAAAGCCAGGCAGAACATTGCACATCTAAAATTGCTTTTCAAAATTCCACCTACTTACTAAGAGCTTTTAGTTCTTTGCACCAACAAGTGAACTGGGAAGATTTAGTCTTTGGGATTGTAAACATGTTTCTGTGCAAATTTAAACAGTGCTGAGACACCAGGGAGTCTGGTTTTGCTCGGGTCTGTCAGCTATTCCTGTAACATCAAGGAGTTTCTTTTCAGAGTCGTGACTTCAAACAGCAGTGGGCAGGGAGGATATTGGTGGTGGAAAAAACAGCCTACGTGAACTCTTTGCTAGAAATGTTATCTGAATTTGCATGCAGTCTGCTTCCACAAAGCCTGAGCAGCCTGACTAACACCGAGAGGAGATGATGATAATGAGGAAAATGAATCATCACCGGTGCCCTCCATCCCCCTGCCCAACTGCAGATGTTGCAACACAGACCCAACCTATTTTCCAAGGAAAGCAGCGAGACAAGACCGTTCCAGCAGCTGGAGGCAGGGAGGGAGCACAAGTAGAGGACGGGGATGCTCGTGGGGACAGGCAGCAGCTGCATTTCTGCCAAAGCCAGCCAGAACAGCCCCAAATCCCCTCGCTCCTAACTTGTCATGTCAGTGCCAGCACCTGCACTCAGTAACCAGAGAAACTGCCTCAGGACAGGTTTTCAATCCATCAAAGTTTTACTTCCCCCATATCCCATTTATTGTGAGGCTGGGAAGGTTGACTTGAGCCCCCAGCACTGAAGAGACTGATCTGATTACAGAAGAAGGGAGAAAAACAAATCAAAACCCAACCCAAGAAAACATTGGGGGCACATTGTGCAGTTCATTTCCCATCTCACTCCAATTGCTTTTCCCCCAGGGTCAGCTGAATGAAGACAAACTGAGGTGTAAACTACGGGTGCTGGAAAATCAGCTGCAGGCCTGCACCCAGGTAATGTTTGATTCACTGACAAACCGGGGAGGAAAGGCAGGAAAACAAAAACCAAGCCTTGTAAGTGGGTCGGGTCTCAGTTTCTACATCAATCTGATTAGATACCTATCCAAAAAGGACTTCTGCTCTTTGCTGAAGCAATGCTTCACAGCACATTAGCAGTAGCACTTACACACTCTGGGTTTCCTAATACTCAGGTTTAGCAAGGTCAGGAATCTGACAGACAAGCACTTCAAGCTCTCTTTCTTTAAAGAGTTACTCAAAGGAGTGTGTGAAGAAGATCCTGATTGAGATGGAGGACCAGAAGCAGACCTATGAGCAGAAGGCAAAAGAGGCTCTTCAGAAGATGCTGGAGGACAAACTCCAAACAGAGCAGCAGCTGCAAAACTCTCAGGTGAGCAACATGTCTTACACCTGGCTTGGCTTTCATTTAGTCCAACTGTGACAAAGAACACCCACGTGTCAGGGAAAGGTGATGACAGGCATTACCATTAGCAGCAAAGATTAAAAAGTACGAAGTTTTAGCTACTCAGCAAAGCCCAAAGCAGCTTTAATGCAATCTGTGCTCACTGCACATTAAGTTAGAGACAGCTCACAGCCAGGGAAATGTACTCGGGCTTGTCAGCCTGAATTGCAATGCCTTCCCCCTCCCCATTCCCTGCTCTGCAGGCACCAACAGACACCAGGGCACGAGGTCTCCTGAGCTGTGTTTTCTGGATTTGCTCATTTACATGAAAACAGATTTTCCCCTAGAGGACGCAAATTGCTTTGACCCACAGGATAACTGGTATTTACAGAAAAACAAGCGAGTTTTATCCCAGGTAGCACCAGGCTACAAGCTGCTGGCAGCACAGGAATGTGTTCCAGAGGGAACAGTGGCCATATGGGCTCTGTCCATCAGATGGCATCAGCCCCACACGGGTTTCTGTGTGCTGAGGGAGCCAGCACTGCCCAGCTGGTGTCACCCAGGGCAGGCTGGCACCTGGGGCACTCACTCCTGGGTCCCCACTCTCCTCTCCAGAGAAGCCTGGCAGAGACACGAGAGGACCTCGACTTCTGGAAAGAGCACGATGCCACACTCAAAGCCGAACTGAGCAGGGTGACCACAGCACACACCGAGCTCAAAAACAGCTTCCAGATTTTACAGAGTGACCTCCAGGTACGGCAGTGCCCTGCAGGAGCAGCTTCCTCTGGAATGTGCGATTTGGCTGGTGCTGGGCTGCCCCAAATCTGGCAGTGTCCAAGGCCAGGTTGGAGCAGCCTGGGTCGGTGGAAAGTGGTGTGGGGACAGCATGAGATGAGCTCTGATGTCTTGCCAAGTTGAACCAGCCCGTGCCTCTGTCCCCTGTGTCTCCCTCGTCCCCCCTGTCCCCTTCTGTCCCCTCTGTCCCCCCCGTGTCCCCGCAGCGGGCGGAAGCGCAGAACGAGCGGCTGAGCCGGGAGCTGCAGGAGCTGCGGGACGAGCGCTCGGAGCTGCTGCACACAGCCAGCGCCCTGCGCAGCGACAACGACCGCCAGGCCAGCCTCATCCGCCACATCCAAGGTACCCGGGGACACGGGCAGGGCTGTGCCCCCCAAAAACGCGGCAGGGACAAGGGAAACGCTCCTAAAGCCGCGGGGCTCAGAGCGGCACGCACGCAAAGCTCACAGCTCAACTCGCCACAAAAGTTTCTGATTGTGAAGTTCTCCAAAAGTTGTTCCTGTCTAGATTGAAGAGTTCAGAGAGGTGGCTTTGCTAGAGGAAAGGATGTAATGGGAGGGATGAAAGGAAATAAAAATCTAAGCTATGTCCTCAGCTTGAATCACCCTTCGCAGACCACGGAACACAGCACTGCAGCCCCGGGGGCCGGCTGGGATGGGCTTACAGAGGAGCTGAGCATGTCCTAAAGCTCAGCTCAGATACCGGCATGGAAACTCACACACGTTATTTTAAATGCACACACGCCTATTTTAAAGCATAATTAAGGAAGAGAAAGCGCAGTTCTAATCTCATAGCAGGTCTTGCATGAACAGCTTTAAAATAAGCCATAAATTACTTGATCACAAGGCACGAGAGAAAAAGCTGCCAAAAAAAAGAAAGAGCAATAAACAGCTAAAAATCACATCCCTTCAGAGAAGAAAGTCAGGGCAGCCAATGTCTGCTCCACTCTACACATGTGGAGAGCAGAAAAGTAGCACCCTTGCATAAAGACACACAGATTTACACCAACCTTGATTCCCTTCTATCCTTATTTCAGATAAATTACAAAAAGAACAAGAGCAGAAGGTAACGCTGGAGGAAACAATCAGCCATTTACAGAGTAAGGAACACAGAAGCACAAAGTTAGAAAACTCCTTTAGTGCTGAAGACAATAATGCTGCTTTTTGTGTTCCCAGACTTGATCCACAACCAGAACAACCAAAGGAAGAGCCAGGAGGTGACGGTGCAAAGGAAAGGTCAGCAAACTTTGTAACCCCCACGTAGCACTCCCTGGACACAGGAACACTAACCCTGACTCTAGGAAAAGTCTGCAGTGGTTTAGAATGAAGGGTTATTTTAGAGCTACACAGAATGAGTTGTTTTGCTAGCTAACATTAAAATATAAATGTATTTATGATGGCAAACACTTGAAAAAATAAATGGATTTCACTGCAAATTCTACTTCAGCGGCTATGCCATATTTTTTCCAAACAAAACACATTCCAATTTCTAATTGCAATTACAGCTGTATTTGACAAAGAGAAAGTAATGAAAAAGGCATTTTAACTCTCCCTCCCCTTCATTTCTGGCAACTACTTAGAAATATTGCTCTCAAGATGATGAAGTTGTAGCTACAGCAGAGACAGGCCTGTGATAACAAACTCAGCTCCTGTGTCTTCTGCTTTGTGCACAGCACACAAATATTATCCTTAAACTGTGCTGAGTAAACAAGAGCTGAAGCCAGCCCAGAGCCCGGAGCTGTTTCTCATCAGAAGCCTGACTGTTTTCTAGACCAGGTTTTCACCACACAGACCCCACCTCTCACTCCTGCCAAGGAGAAACAAAACGCTCTGTTAGAGCACCCCGAGGAGGAGGAGGGAACAGAAAGTCTGCAGGATGAGATGCAGAGAAGGACATCCCAGCTCACAGCAAAGGAGAACGAGGTGAGGAAGTCACTCAGTGCTGGTTCTGCTCCAGCAGAAACCCCACACACCAAAACTCCTGCAGGTAACCCAGGCCTGGTGTCTCCTGTAAGGATTACCTGCCCTCATTTTTTATCCTGATATCACTCTTACCTAAAGACATATTTGATCCTGACTCTTACCTAAAGTCCCAATGAAGCAGCTGCACACAAAGACAGGGCTGCAGGAGCAGAGCTCTCCCTGTACAAACCCACTGCTGCTCCCACAGACAGGAGAGCCTCTGCAGCCCCACAGGGAAAAGATAAAACCACATTTACAGAACCATGCCCTGAGCACAAAGTAAGGAGAAGAGGAAAAGAAAGTGCTTGCAGTAACAACAACAATAAAAATAACAAGAAGGGTCTGCTAACAGGAGCAATGCCAGTACAACTGGGCTGCAAAAAAATCCAACCAAGCAAAGCTTTACAGCCTTTTACACACACCCTGCCATCTAACCAGCCTTCTGCCAAACAACAACCCTTCAATTCTTATAGCAGTATTCAGCCAGCAAGGATTTATTAAAAAGGACACATTAAAAAAAATATAACTTACTGTAGCAGAATGGAGAGCCACAGAGGAGAAGACCGTGTCACACTAACCCACAGAGCTGAGGGCACCAGCAGGAAGCACCCAGCAGCTCCTGGGAGGGATTTATAAAGCACAACCACAGCAAGAGGGAACAGCTGGGGAGGACAAGACACCCAGGTGCCCCCACTTGGGCTCCTGGAGCCTCTGGGCCAGGCAGCTCCTTCACAGCTGCTGCCAATGTTCTGCCCATCAGAATGTTAGGGAGAACTCACTCCACGTGTGTGGTCAGGAAAAGGGGCCAGCCCTGAGTTTTGGGGTTGTACAACACAACCAAGGCACCTGTTCCATGTGTCCCATCTCTCAGAGGGTAAAATGGACTGTCAGGAATTGCTGTCAGGATCATTGAAATGCAGAAGGAATTTCAGATTGAGGGGCAAACCCTGACAGGAGTCTGCATTCCACATCTTCTGACCTGCACACTCCTATGGTCGTACAACTCACAGTTTCTCCTTTCCCCCGTGCTGTGATTGTTGGCAGCAGAGGCAGGCGGGTGTAGGATGGTGGCAGGGAGGTGTGGGATGGTGGCAGGCGGGTGTGGGATGGTGGCAGGGAGGTGTGGGATGGTGGCAGGGAGGTGTGGGATGGTGGCAGGCAGGTGTGGGATGGTGGCAGGCGGGCACTGCCCCAGCACCCTGCTGCAGTAACCCGAGCTGTGCTCTGTCTCTGCAGGTACCCCAGGACATTCGGGCAGCAGAGCTGGGCAGTGCCCTGCTGTGGGTGCAGCCGCTGCAGCAGCCTGGCCACCCTGGGTGGGTACAGACCCCAGGGGTCCCCTCCTGCTAAGGATCCCCCTCCTTGCTGTGCTTGCAGTGCTCGGAGCTGCGCTCGGAGCTGGAGGCGCTGAGCGAGGAGTACCAGTCCTGCCTGACCCGGCTGCGCCAGTGCCGCGCCGAGCTCAACCGCTCCCAGGGCAGCCAGGCACAGGTGGGAGCTCAGCCTGGCACACAGCCCCGCTCTGTGCCGTGCACAGGGAGGAACGGCGTGTTTGCCAGGGCTGAGGTGAGAAGTGCCTTCCCCCAGCACGCTCCCACTAACACAAGCCTCTCCTGGCAGAGACAGCGCGGTCCCTGGATCCCTCTCCTGGTGGCAGTGGCAGCAGTGGCCATCGCCGCCTTCCTGGCCACTTACAGGCTGTGAAGGAGCTCCTCGGTGACTGACTTCACTGCAGGAACTGACCTCTGCTTCCCCAAAACCTGACCTCACCTTCTGCTGTTCTGTATGTACACACTGGGTCCGTATCCTGAGCTGGTCTCACTCCAGACAAGTCCCAGTGACCACGGGGACTCGGCTGCTGTGGTTCCTCTGTTCCTGCTGGAGCCTGCACTGCCCAGACCCCAAGGCATGGGGGGCAAAGCCCCTCTGGCTCCGCTGCCGTGGCTGGCACAGGGAGAGAGGGACAGGGCATCCTGTGGCATTGGCATCCAGCCTGCCCGAGCTCCATGACCCTCAAGTTCTCCTCCTGTATTTATTGCTTCCCTAAATGGGAGGAACTCGATCCTGGGCCATCCCTACTCTTACCTGATAAAGAAACCCAGCTCAGGGGGGCTCCAGCACAGTCCCCTCGTGTGTCCTGAGCAATTCTCCCACCTCACACCCACCAGGCCCTGCTCGATCCCACTCCTCCAGCCCCTCTTGTGGCCGAGCATCCCCACAGCCACACCTGCTTCCCTTTCACTGCCACCCCCACAGGAATCCATCAGAGACAGGGCTTTAAAGTCCCTTTTGCAGCTGCACCGTGCAGGTTTTACAGCAGCACTTGCCCCCCATTCATGTGCAGGCTCAGACACCACACAGGCCATGACACCACCTCCCACGGGAAGGAAATAAACCTGAAATACACATGCAATATACACGTTGTAAATACACATGTAACTTACATTAAACTTCACTAATTCAAAGCACTGTGGTGTTCAAATCATTTATTAATCTTCAGCTGCCCACTGCAAATAAATCCACACTGACTTTGCAGGGTGTGATGTGCAGGCAGGCAGGACTGAGGTAGCAGAGCAGCTGGGAGCACACGTGTCCACACACGTTTTTTTTTTAAAGAACATGTATTTGGTTTTGCCACCGGCCTGCGGTGACTGTCACAATTCAGCCTTCGGTGCTCAAGGACCACGAGAGACGCAGGGGACAACGCACAGGGAACTGGAGCTTCTGCCTTGGTCCCCGACACAGTGAAGAAGGGTAAAAAGTCAGAGCATGTTCGTGTTTTACAAGGCAACCGCTGGAAGAGACACCACCTCGCTCGAAATGCAGAGATCTACAAAATCACTCTGAGCACTGAAAGCCTCCTTGAGCTGGCGGCTCCAGGCATCCAGCGCGTCCCTGAGCTGGGGGCAGAGGCTCTCCGGGACGCTGAACGAGTAGATCCGGACCCGGAGCCCATCCTTAATGCGGGGGCAGGAGGCCTGGGCCGTGAACACCCGCAGCGGGGTCAGCGCCAGGCAGTTCTCGGCGCCCTGGGCGAACGTGTACACGGCGGGGTAGCCCAGCAGCACCCCGGCCACGGTGCACAGGTTCCAATCGCCGGGGGCAACCTCGCTGGCGGTCACGGGCTCGGCGCTGGCGGCCTCGGCGTCCCGCAGGTGGCCCAGGAGGGCGGCGAGGTGGCGGAGGGCGGGCTGGGCCTCGGCCGGGCCGCAGAGCTCCGGGCCCCTCCGCCCCGCCGACACCTCCACGAGCGGCGCGGGCCGCGAGTCCAGCACGGCGCGGAGCCGGCCCCGGGCCAGCGCCGGCCGCAGCACCAGCGCCGAGCCGCCCATGGCCAGCACGTGCAGCCGGCCCAGGGCCAGCCCGGCCTCCCGCAGCCGGCCCAGGTACCGCCGCAGCTCGGCCGGGCCCGCGGCCCCGCAGTCCCACAGCAGCGCCGGCTTCAGCCCGGCCGCCACCGCCAGCACCTCCCCGGCGGCGTGCAGGGCTCGGGCCGCGGGCAGCCTCCGCCTCCGCCCGGCACCGACACCGGCACCGGCACCGGCCCCCAGCGCCTCCCGGGCCGCCGACACCAGCAGCGGCACCGGCAGCGCCCCGGGGCCTGCGGCCATCAGCGGAACCCTGCGCGGATCCGGGGCGGGCCCGAGCTCGGCACGGCCCCAGCGGAGACACCGCCCCTGGGCGGGACCGGCTCGCCATGGCCGGGAGAAGGGAACAGGGCCGGAGAAGGGATAGGGAAGGGATAAGGGCCGGGAGGAAGGCGAAGGGTTGGGAGAAGGAGGAAGGGTAGGGGCAGCGGCATGGCCGGGAGAACGGCCAGGAGAAGGGAAAAGGGCAGGAGAAAGGAGAGCGGCTGGGAGAAGGCCCGGGATATCGGCACGGGTGGGAGAAGGGCACAGGGACAGGAAGGAGCCGTGCTGGAGCCGCTGACAGCTCTGAACCATCACTGAGTGCTCAGGCTTGGAGACTCCTGGAGCTCCACAGGTCCCTTCCAACCCCGTTCTGTTACAGACACATTTACAATGCCTGTGTATACGCTTCCCTATTTAAAAAACTCTACACTGTAAGGAGTATCAGCGTTCGTGGTTGCTGCTACACCCCATTAAAGAGAACAAAATTACACAAGGTGATATTGTCCAGGCAGATTTAATAGAGCACAGATTATTTTCTTTCTCCTCCTCTAATGATCAACTGTTTATATACATTGTATTAATAGCAGATTAAAAATTTTACAGAATTGAAAAATCTGATTTATACAGAGGGGTTGCTTAAGCAAACAAGTGAAAAGGGTGAAGGAGTGAAAAGTATTCCCGTAACCCCCTCTGTTTTGAGCAACATCCAAAACAAAAGCACCACAGACTGCTGAAATTGTGGAATCAGATGACGAGATTTACAGATTTTATTTATTCAGACTGAGGCAAGGTACTGGTTAAGAAACACTTCTGTATATGTACAACGAAGGAGCCCCGGTGGAAGCCGAGGTGGGTCACTGTGCTGGGAGGGGCTGTGCCATGTGCATGGCAGGGGCCTGCATGGGCCAGCCCTCCTGGTGGTTCTGCAGCAGCCGGTACAGCTGCTTCAGGTGTGCCACGATGTTGTCCTTGATGTCGGGCGTGGAGATCTGCAGCCGCACGCTGCCGCTGTCGAAGGAGCGCGTGAAGTCCCCAGAGAACATCTCGTAGATCATCCGGGCCACAACGGGGATGACCTGTTAAAGAAATCCCCTTTTTTAGCCTAAAGGCACGTGGAATAAATATCCCTGTTGCTCTGCAGGAACCCTTGTCCTGTCCAGTTCTATTCAGCACATGTCACATTTGTATTTGCTCTCCCAACCCACCAGTCTTACTGGAGTTTTCCTGGTTTTCCAGAAGCCACATCAGAAAAGAACAGGTCTCAGCATCCATGGGAATTGATCCCAAACCCAACAAGGCTGGCACATGTCACCCCAGAGCCCTACCTGCACCACGATCAGCTTCCTCTCCCTGGGTTTTCCATCGGGCCACTCTTCTCCAAAACAGAAGTAGATCTCGTATGGTGGCTGTTTCTCAATTTGTCCCTTCTGATGGGCAATCAGCTCTAGGAGGAAAAGCAGAGTGCTGCAGGGCTGTCCTCTTTGGGCTGGAAACACCCATGACATCCCACCTCATTGCATCACCTCAGGTTTTACCTGCACATTGTCCTCTGCCACCTCTCACACAATTACAGCTCACTCCTTGCACGTGAAGTGCTTTCTTTAAAAGCAAGGCCCTCAGAGCATTAAATGAGTGTACAGTGCCTTTTTGCTGCCTCTCCAAGCTCCCCTCAAGTGAGGGCAGCAGTGACCCTGACCCTCTCTCCACACCTGGTGCACGCAGAGCCCCAGTGCAGAGCACCCTTTCCAACAGTGCCACGACCAGTGTGCCAGAAGCAGAAGTTACCTACCGCTCAGGAACGTTTCCAGACAGAAGAGCTTGACCTTCTTCTGCCTCTCAATGAGATTTGGGGTGGTGGAGGAGGGGGCACAGGGCCCAGACCAGTACACCTTGCACTGGCAGAGCCTCACGGCGTAGATGGCGTGGCCGCTGACCTCCAGGATCAGTCCCCTGTCCATAACATCCAGCAGCCGACTCGTGAAGATCTTCTGCCTTTCATTGGTGATCTGCTCCGTCCCTGGAAACTTGACCTGCTCCAAACTGATGGGCCCAAAGAGCTCCTCCTGGTCTGGCATGGGACCCAGCTCTCCATAGAAAAGTCTGCAGCCCTGCGGGTTGCTCACGGTCGTCGTGGGTCCGGTTTCCTTCCCTCGATACTCAAACTTGATTTCCAGGTCTGTCACTGAGAGAGAAATCGTCAGTGAGGCTTTCCCTGGAGCAGCAGCAGGGACACCACGCAAGCCCCACTGCCCTCACAGGGATGTTTAAACCACACACAGTTCTATTTAAACTACACAAGTTCTCCTCACTCACCCCCAAACAGCCAAAAAGAACAAAAAAAAAGAAGCCAAACACTATTCTCTGTGGGGCTTTAAAGTACAAAAGCAGCAGCACTGCTACAAGCCCACGCACGTACTTGGCAGGGAGCTGATCCAGAGCTCGGGGCTGCTGAAGAAGTCGTGCTGCAGCGCCGTTGGGGGCATTTCCATATCCAGAGGTTCGTTCTTTGGCCACACAGTTTCAGGGCTGCAGTTTTCTGCACTGGCTGGAGCCATCGGAGAATCTGCAACAAGGCAACAAACTCTTGAATAAATCAAGATTTCATTTCAAGCATGCGGCAATTTACAAACAAATACCTTCACTAATACATTAGTCTGTGCCACCAACCATTGATATTAAGAAATGGAAATGTCTCTTGAATTGGGACATGCTGAGATTGATTCAGTTCTTCCTCCTCTTCATCATCAAGATCATTATCCTTTTCATCCCACGGAGCTGAGCCAGTGGAACCTGCAAACAATCACATTCTTGTGGGTGGATGATCAGCATGAAACCCTGAAAAAATATCATCTTCATATTGGATATTAATGTGTGTATTTTTCAAATTTTAGTAAAAAAGGATAAATCTGATGCATACAACATGCTAATTTCAGTTTCATTTATAATTCTAGGAAACGAAAGTTAAAGTATGGATGAAGTAAGACAGCATTACCAATATTAGACTGTTTAGCAGGAAAGCATACAACTGTGTGCAGCTTTATTAATTTCAGGCTTAGAGCATGGTCCAAAATCCTTTTAGTTTAAGAACAGGCTTCACCTGGGAGCTGCTCCTGCTGCACATGGGCAGCTGGAGAGTTAATGCAGAGAGGGAAGGAGCTGCCTTGGCCCAACGCCTGCCCAGGAGCCAGCCCTGTCAGCAAGGCCCTCACCTGGATTAATGATTGATCCCTGCGACTGCGGGATGTCGCACACTTCATAAATTTTAATGGGGTTCATGGGCACCTCCTTGGTGCCATCGTACATCAAATTAAACTCCCGGCTCTTGTTAAGTGCACATCGGAGCTGGGCTTTCCACTTTGCAGGGTCGGGCTCATCCACTCCTTCCTGGTACTTTCCTGTTTCCACGGCCCATGCCTGGGGACAAAGTACAGCCAGCTCAGTCCAGCCCTCCTCACAGAGCAGCTTTTATCAGAAATCAAACTTCCAAACAAATCCACTGTAAAATCCTTCTCTTGCAGAAGTCTTAATTAGAGCTCATCATGATAACAAAATAAAAAAGGAAATTCCCTCTTTAACAGTTTTGCCCATTACAAGAAAGTAGAGAAAAAAAAGACATAAATCCAAATTCCAAAAGAATGTTCACAATTCTGGGTTTTTGTGGGTCTTGGATTCAACACCAGAAGTCATTTTTGACAGGGAGCCTGTGCAGGAGGAATGGACTTGGTTAAAATGGAGTGGAAGGACAGCCACAGACATCCGACTGGCCTCTCCCTCTCTCACCCCAAAATCTGATTATTGGTCCAAGATCCCTCCAAGACAGAGGTCAGAAATTC